TCATTCCTGGAACCAGGGAGATTAGCCACACCTGATAACAGAAAAAAAAGACAATGAAGAAGCAAAATAAAGAAGGTAAATACACACCTATAAGCTCTGAAGGGTTCTTTTCACTGAAATTAGTTTTCCTTTTGTTTTGTTCCTAACTTTTTCTCATATTTTCAGGCATGAAGAATGCCCTACACCTGAGAACACAAAAACATTTATCCGTGTATGTGAGCATTTCAGTGAAAAGAACCCTTCAGAGCTTATAGGTGTGTATTTACCTTCTTTATTTTGCTTCTTCATTGTCTTTTTTTTCTGTTATCAGGTGTGGCTAATCTCCCTGGTTCCAGGAATGAACTAAATAAATGTCTACACCACAGTATTTGTGCATATGGCTTTAGTGTAATGATGGCCTAAAATATACTCTTACCGTTCACTGATATTAGTCTCATATGGCTGTATATATTAGAATCTAGATGTAATTAGCTACCTTACCCAGACATGTATACAACAGCTTAGGTTGTCCATAGATTCCCCAGTTGTCCATGTTTGGAGTTTTCCTCAACTTCCATGGATGCAAGTGAGTAATTAGGGCACGGACTGTTATTTCTGGCCCTAAATCTCCTGTGGCATTTAATAAACAAGAAGTGCTATAGTGTTTAAGGCCATGTTGGGATTTATAAAGATCCTCTAAGAATTCATAGATTGTAAGGGGCTGGAAGGGACCTTGCAAGATCATCAGGTCCAGCCTCCTTGCACTAGGCAGGAAAGACAACTGGGGTATAGATTCATAGATTGTAAGATTCAGAAGCAACTAACAGCACCGTTTGTGTTACAGTACAGATCTGGTCCCTGCAATGGTTTTTCAGGTTATTTCAGACGTCAAGGCACAGCTCTTGCCGCCAGCCTCCCTAGACCATTTACAGTGCAAATGGAGATTACTTCTGTCTCCAATACTTACTTCTGCCTTTCCTCTCTCTTCCTCCCAGTTCCATTTCTAGGTCACCAGATAGTTTTTTATTCCCTTCTCAGCCAATGTTTTGATCTACCTTTGGAAAGGGAGAGGAAAGAGGCTCTACAAAACAAAGGAGCAAATATTTATGTTTACGGGAAAAGAATCTGTTTCAAGGACAGGAGCAACAGAGCGTGGAGGCTGGGTTTCCATTTGTCTGCGTGAGCTCTTTTCCTTTTGGATTCTTTATTTTACCCACGATGTGGAGAGCAATGCCTGCTCTGCAAGCTGGAGTTGGCTGAGTAACTTCCTTGGCTGAGCAAACTCCAGTTCCTCTGGGAAAGGTTAATTCTGGGTCTTCCAGTTTGTTCCTTAAATTCATTTTAATACGGCATTATTACTAATGTTTTGATTCGGCAATTGAGTTCTCTTGATGTACTGGGCTGTAAACTATTAATAGAAACTTGATTGGTTTTCTTTTGAGACAAAACAGCCATATGAATGTTGTCAATTTAGCTTTTTCCAAAATTAGTGGCTTTTAATTTTGCTCTAAATAATCGTGTTTTTAATTTTTACATATGAACATTCACGTACACGTCTCCAGTCTTTCCAAAATAAAACCTGGTACA